GAAACGCCATTGTAAATTTGTTCGCAGTTTAAATGTCGGCTTTGTGTGGGCCCCAGCAATTTCTCAAACTGAAAAATCAGCTATGTAATATTGTACTTTTAGCACGCCAGAATACTCTTGATGTGTTACTCACAGAAAGGTTAGAACAGATATCAAAAAAGCAATAAAGGGAATAATGATATACTTCTAAAATTTCAAATAGCAAAAAACAGTTGCCATTAGAGATAGAAAAGTATTGTGATGAATAGCTTTTAGGAGTTTAGTGATTGTGAATCGTCAACATTTGTCAAATTCCATGTCCTCAAAGGGCAGCTACAGCTTAGTTGGTGAAGACCTGAGGTATGCTGTCTGATGCTCCTTAGATACCTATGGTGTTTTGTATCCCTCAGAAAGCTGAGACTGGTCTCTGATATCATATTTGTAGAGATGAGCCTCCTGTGTGTCGTTCATTAAAGGTAGTTACAGAGTGATCTCCCTTCCTCTAACCTTTATGGCTGCCGACGAGTGCTTGTTCTCACCTCAAAATGACCATGGCTGTACATGGGATGATAAACCATCAAACAAATGAATGTCCTCAAAGCACTAACCAATCAACGTATTTATAATTGAGTGAATTCACTCAACAAACATAAAAAATTGTAATACGGACAAATTGATGCGCTTTAATATAATTTCTTCAGCATTATAAAGTACAGGTCGAACATGACCTTGATTGACAGGTATTTAACTATATCTGTCGGGCAAAATTCTGACAAAAAGTCTGTCGGGCAAATCATCTTTATCACACAGTAGGAATACATCAGGCATGTTTAAGTTGGTGAATTTAATTCTAGAACATCATGGTTCAAACATATTCCTACCTTCTGTATCCGAGCCAACTGATGGGCACAGTCTTCAACATGTGCTGGTTGGTTAACATAGGAACTCGTGGAGAAGATAGCTAATGATATAAAATTAAAAGTTATCATATGTATCACAGAAAGTACTTGTATTATAATTTCTCCTAAGGTTTACTTGCGTTTGCTGTACTCGGTTAAATGAATGAAATGCACCGGTAGGAGATCTTTTGCCCACATGACAGTAGACTACTTTGCTGAAATTTGTTATAGTGCATAAAGGTTACATTTTACTTTTGATGTTAGGATCGAAATTCTTTTGACTGTGATTGCAACCAATGTGCTCTCAAGTAGCCAAATTTTTAAGGTATTGACAGAATTCCTTACATGGTTACTTCATATTTCAGAATTTGTATGTAGTCCTAGATATTTTTTACCACTGCTAGCTCTGGTGTGTGTATTTCAAGTGAATTCAGATGGTTTTATATAATTATTGAACAGATGATTTACAGTACCTGATATACTAATTAGTTAATTGTTTATTATTGTTGGTTTAATATATGTTAAACAAGTGAATTATGGTATGGTTTGTGTTAAACAAGGCAAATTTCGGTATGTTTGATGTTTGTGAAGCGGGTGAATTATGATTTGTTTGATTTGAATTAAACCAGGTGAATTATGGTATGTCTAATGAGCATATATTGAAAAGGTATGTTTAGTGTATATGTATTAAACTGATGAATTAAGGTATTGAAAAGATGAATTATGGTATGTTTAGTGTATATTTAGTAAACTGGTGAATTACGGTATCTTTGATGTGAGATGTTTACTGTATAAGCACCCTACCATACTTCTCTGTGGAGCTACACAGTGTGTGAGTTTACCTCACCTTAACATGCAGTGTGTAATTATCATCACTTACAGCACATTGAGAAAAACAAGTAGGTGTTTTAGTTCAAAGGATTGGTAGTGTTAGGGGATTCTACCAGTCTGACTGCACCGGCCGGCCCGCAACCTTTTCTGTATGACTGGTGGTCGATGTCAAATCCACATGCCTGAAAAACATGTATTTTATAGGTAGACATCTTTGATTATAAATGCTTGTCTGGTTGGTGGTCGGTTTTCAATCCCCTGGAAATGATACAGAGCCATTTCTTGATACAGTCAGGAGACATGGAGTTTGATAATATTCAGACTTAGTAAAGGTGAAATTCATGCAAGACTATAGGCAGGTATTTATAGGTACATAGAAGTTATCACCATCTCTTCAGTGTGAGACCTGGGGTGATACAGGTAATCTCATTGTTGATACAGGTGCATCTTGGGGTGTGTGCATGGATCAGAAACCGGAAAAAGGCTTCAGTGCACATGCATTGGAACGAAACTTGGCCCAGTGTAACTGTCATTCATTTGTAGTATTTCACTACAGGTGATCTTTCAAGGCAGGTGGTCTTGTATGGCAGGTAACATCACTGCTGGTGGTGTCTCCAGATAGGACCTTGTAATGGTGGTCCCACACAATGGATCTCTTACACACTGGGACCCTTCTAGTGATCTGGTATGTCTCCTGACAGCTGATCCCTCAAGACTGGTATTTTGACTGGTAAACATAGTTTCTTTATTTAGTAGCAGTTGTTATGGTCTTGCCTTTCGTAAAGGTGATGGGGGTTCGATTCCCTGATTGAAAATAAAATGTTTAGGGCTTTCCCTGTGTTGTGCTATTTCCTTCCATTGTAAGACCCCTTAGGCACTTCCACCTGGGCCAATCCAAGAAATCAGAATCTGTTATTTTGTAACTGTGTTTTGAAAAATTTAGGATATGTGTTTCTCTGGTAAGGAAAATTCTGAGTTCTTTTGTTTATGTTAATGGCAGTTAAAATTGTAGCAGAACAGAACCAATATTTACCAGCTGCTTGAAACACTTTCTTACTAAGTGATTGATTTGTGATCAATCATTTAGTGAAATCAATGACTTGTAATGATGAACTAGTTATCATGGTTTACAAAACATATACATGGACGTCATTACAGGTCTACAACAAATGACGCGAGACATCTGTCGGGTTAATATTATATTAACACCTCACACCCTCTGTAAATTATACAGTTAGTAGGATAACATTGTGGTATTTGTCTCCTGTACATGGAAACCTAAACTGACATTTATTATCTGGCTTATTGACTCCTATAGTGTCATTACTGAGTGATAAAATATGGATAAACCTTCTGCTGTGTTTCAGGTGTCCATGTTAATTTGATAATCATTTGATATTTTAGTAATTATAGGTGATGGCTATATATCAAAGTTGGGTATAATGAAGACAGATCATTTCAATCTGGAACCTCTGGATCAGTCACATAACTTTATATAATGTACTGTGTTAATTTATTGATATTGGGACGTTGGATAACAAATGACGAAGGAAAACAATTTTTGACTTGTGCCTTGTCCGGGCCTTGAACTCATCATCTATGGCACCAAATTGCTGAGCCAAAAAATTCTCTAGCTGCCTATTCATTATACCACCACAACATTCCAAACAGAATGCTTCGAAGCGGAGTTGATAGAAAGCTAGAAATTCTCAACATGACCATAGTGGCAAAAAATAACGCTCAACATATGATCAATTAAGTAATAGCAACAGTACGGACAAGTGAATTGTCATATTTTTGAGGCAACCTGCCCCTTTATCACGACACAAATATTACACAAATTACATCACATACATAGAACATAAAACAAATACAAAGTTATAAATCTAAATTGAGAGCGGTTGTCATGACAGATTGATGCCAAAGGCTCTTTGAAAAAAATTTGGCAGATGATAATTTTTATAAAAGAAATAATGACATTTTGAATTTTTTACTTCTGTCAAACCACCTTCTGACATTGTTGTGTATATGTATACAGTCATTTTTATTTTTGAGACCAGCCCACATTTTAAATGTCAAAATGATAAAGTTACTCTTCAGAAATTAGAAAATAAATGTTAAATGACATTTGTTGAAATAAAATTTATTTGACAGGGAAGTAAAATGTTGGACAAATTTCAAATATCTGCTTTAAATTAGGTTCAAAATTTGTTCATGGCATGGTGTTCAAATATAACAAAAAGTGTCTCTTAAGCTTTGAATCATTATTTTCTGTTATTTCTGAGTATTTGCGTTTTTTGGTTATACGTATTGTTTTTGATAAATTCAACTAGATCAAGTGAAATGAAAAAAACTTGATGGCATCAAATTGGTGTTGTAAGCACCAAGTTCAGATAGAAAATTTATTGTGAAATCTTTGTCAGTGTCATATGAAGCACTGGCCATAATTTATATTATGTAGTATTTTGATGACTTTTTATCAGATTAAGTTTGCTTGTTTGTAGTCAATACAATCAGGATGTTATCTCCATAGCTAGGTGCGTTGTATGGTTTATCATTATTTTCCATTTTCGTAGTGTGAATTATTTTTGGCAAGTTTGTAATCATTCAAAGTCATCCAGAACCAGCAGATAAATGAAAGATATTATAACAAAATTCTTTGTCAATTAGTGTATGTGGTTTTGCTCGTTTGTGAAATAGCACCTTATTTTTACTTGGCTTCTTATATATACTTAGTGTTAATGCTACCTCCTTCTTAAAAACCTTATATATAAGGAAGCCTGTAAATTGTCATTGAATCATGAACAACAGCTTTATACAGTACCCAAGAACATGTGTAATTCAAGAGTTGCTCTGAATTATAATGTGATGTTCATGGGAGCTAACAAAAAAAAGATAAAGTAGCATATAGCCTTAAATCTAGAAAAGTGGAAAAATCTATCCATGTGCTGGATTGTAACATGGATCTAAGGTGATCTAGGTGAAACAAAGGTGTTAAATAGGGGTTGATTTAAAGTCTTTTATGTCGTGTTAGCAGGAAATATTTAGAATTTGAATTTTATCAGTAGAGATTAAAAATGACAATCTGATTATGGAAATATTTTCCAAATATCAGATTCTGAAAATTTATGTGTATGTATTTTTTTTATCTTAACACATGAACTGTAATTTATGAAATAAAGAGATGCATGAATTTCAAATTTAATATAATAATATTTAATATGATATAATCATTGTTTTCTCTCTTGATATTTTAACTATGTGTTAATTTCACTTTTTCTCTTGTTACAGGGGAACACCTTGAAGTATGTCCTCAGGGTCACACATGTTGTACACGCGACATGGAACAGAAGTTAAAATCTCTCAGTACCAAGGAGTATGCTAAATTAGTAGATGAATCATTTAGATATGTAAAAAGTACTTTTGTATCAAGAACAAGAAAATTTGATGGTAAGTGCACCATTATATCTATACTTCAAACATAAAAGTTTAAATAATATTTCATTTAGAACGTTTCACCACGTTTCCCACCATCATTATACATTAATTGGAATTGATCTGTAGGTTTTAGCTGAAAACTAGTACTGAATCCTAGTGCTTTGTTGGAGCACTGCTAGAGCCTAATGTATCACTTTCTACAATACCCTGTAATCTCTGCATCACCCTCGATTAAAGAGTCACCGTGTTTTTTCTCTCAAAGGAAAACCGTTTTAGACTCGGATTGATTACAAATCGGGGTATGATACACTAGCTTTCAGTTCATCACAACTGATCGATAGAGCTCTAAGGTGTATTAGGTTTTGTGTGAGGTTAAAATGTAACAAAACAAGCCTCTTCACTCAGTTTGATTTAGCTGAATATGTGTCCTCACAAGATTGATTTATTTTCATTATTTTTATTTTTTTAAAATTCAGTTTATGAAAGAAAGGTTTGGATGATGGGTGATGGCGGATTTGAACAAAATCGAGAACAATAGAATAAGATGTGTTCAGCATATCCTTATAGGATGACTAACTGGATCTGTAGAAATGTGTAGGTCTAGGGACAGTCAAAGTTTAATTGTATTTTTCCAGGCCAAAATTAAAACAGAAAACATTTATTCATAACAAAGACTTATGTGTACTGCGCCTAAAAATAATTGGTCTGAAACTCTTCTTTTCATTCATTTATAGCTTTTAGAGACGGAGTGAGGGAAAATCTGGGATTTTTCAAAGTTTGGTACAGATGTGTCAGTTTATAAGCATGTGTTTTAGCTAATTGGGGATTACAATACTTCCTCAGGAACAACACATGTGTTGTAATACGTCCCTGCCTGAGGGTTACCCAACCCAGAATGTAGGAAGTAGGGGGAGGAGGGGGTGGGAGTGAGTCACAGTGTTGAATAGATGTTAGCAGCTGACTAAGACCTTCCAGTATTGATCTGAGGGGAATCCCCTGTCACTAGTAGGAGGGAGGCGACGGAAGCCCTAATGAGAATAAAGCCCTCCAGTCAACAAAGAACTGAATAGATCATGCTTTCTGATTGGTAAAAAATTATGGCTTGCATGCAAACTATTAGAAAATCTTGGTGCCATTTAGGGTAACATGAAAATGGATTTAACAGCATGAAATGTGTCAGTGTTGACCTCGTGAACTGAATTCTGGAGGGCTGAGGGCAGGCATATCATATTTTCACTACAGATCAAATTCTGGACTTTGAGCCTTACATATTAAGCTCCCTTTACATTTGTTACCCTCATATTGATCGCTTGATTCTATCATTAAATTAAAGAGAAAAAAAAGTTTTTTAAAAGCTGGAATGAGTTTAGATTTTTGTGTGTGTCATTTTTGTATTTTATCTGATAGCAAATATTGACATTTGAAAGCAATTGTATTTTTATTCTGGATGATATTTTCGAAAGATGTTAAAGATTGTTTTTACATTGTATTTTGATGCTTTGATAAAGAGTTTTCAGTCATTTGACATTTAAAAAAATTTGATATGCATTAATTTCTTTATAAATTTTGATATTACACGTTACATGTGGATGTTTGCGACAAATAGCTATATACTAGTCTCTGTTTTAGTCAGTGTTGACTTCAGTTTCTTGCATGGTGAAGAAAAGTTAGGTTCATTTTCAAAAAAGAAAGGCAGCTGTAATCTTTGTCTTTACCAAGGAAAATGGATTAGATTTGTGTTTAAGAATTTCTTCGTCATTACTGCCTGCAATATATCACAGTCTTAGATCTTAGATTTTAAGAGAATTTTTTTTTCAGTTGTGATTAATTTTAGCTTAAACATTCATTAAAATTGCAGATTTTAAAAATATGTAATGAGAAGTCCTAGCAGAATATTGAAAAAATTTTAACATTGTTTTGAGATATTAAGTGAAACAGCATAAAAACAAGTAGTACTGTTTGAAACATGTCAGTAGAACCATGTCTATATGTGGTAAAGGGGGTTGTACTTGATGGCAAACAGCTTAAGCCTATCTAAACAGAGTCTGAAACAATTCAAGCATGTGTGAGTAGTACCAGTAGCCATACACAACGTACACTAAAACCTGGAATGGATTTCAAATTTCGTTGTTTTGAAATGTGGACATATTTACAGTGTACTGGATCTGGTTAGGATTGTACAGATTTAGGAAAAAAAATTTATTGACTTAAAGAGGTACAAGGTGTAATTCAATTTTTAAATTGTGTAATATTTATAAAAAATTATTAACTAAATACAGTATTCATTCACGTTAAGATATTGTAAAAAGTAAAAATGGTAGTTTCAAACTTTTTTTCAGAACCCAGCCAGAAAAGCTAATAAGAAATTTCAAGATTGTGAAAAAATCATTCATGTTCTTGACTTGTTCCTATTCTGAAAAAAAAGACAATGTACAATTGATTTTGAAATTTTGAGTATACTGATGTTCAATTTAAGCTACTCTGAACTTTGAGTTAGACCAACTGAAATACAATTTTCAATGCATTGTTGAAAAGTTTTTTAATTCTCTAGAATATTCTGAATCTTGAGGTATTGAGGACAGTTTTCAAGATTCAACATTCTAAATTTGAGATAGTAATAAATTACTTATTGTATATGATAAATCAAATATTCAGACATTGACGGAAAATTTAAATAATGATATATATCAAATCCAAAGCTTTCAAGACTTTTGAGAGATTTAATAGGTCTCTGGATTTAAAACCACGGCCAGTCCTTGTTTCCTACTATCTAACATGTAGAAGGTGCAATGCTCCGAGGATGATACTAGCCACATGTGCAGTGTTTTGTTAATAGCCTAGAGATCCTATACACTCCATCTAACCTAGTAAATAACACACGACAACCTTCTTCTCTCTGCACATTAAAACAGTTTAAATAACTTTATTTTACCCTGCTCCAACCCTCCATTTCAGCGTTGTAATTTTTTGTGAGAATTTCTTTGCTATGCTCTAGTTTAAATGACTAAAGTTGCTTTCTAAAATAAACACCAGGAATGGAGGTTAGTGTAAGGTTTATGAAGCATCGTGAATCGAGGTTAGCACAACGTTTATATCCAAACATACAAAAAGCATGTTTGAAGAATGGCGGAACGTATCATGTCCAGGACAAAACCCACTATTCTCAGGGATAAAAACTGCTTCACCTGCTGTTCTTGTGAAAATCTGTCTTCCTGTATTTTACCCAAAGATGTACTTTTCTGATGATAAATGGAGTTCCTTCCGCCCCTGTCGGATCCTGATGGAAACAAAGTGTTACTTTACAGTATAATTGAGTTTCACTGGACAAAACAAAAACCCAATTAATATAACTAAAAAAGAATCTCTCAGAAAGTTCCCCCATAAATGTGAATTACAAGTCATTAATAGGGGTCAGATGATCTTATACAGGTCGGCCAGACGAAGAATTCACTAACCCATGACCAAGAAAGTAGACAGGAAGGGATGTTTTTAGAGAATACAGCCAGTTTCCTGTATTAGGTCTAACACCATGACAACAAGATTGATAGGAACAAAAAAAGATTGATTACAATATCGTGTGAACAATATCAAAAAAGCAACTTATCGGAAAGGAGAAAGAAAATAGATTCTACAAAGTTTTTTATGTTAATATTTTAAACCAGATGCTGATAAAGGTTTTTCATATATAGATTTACAGCACTATTTGTACATTCTTTTTTAAAAAGAAATTTCACTAATTCGTCATGTGTATTTTCATTTTTTAAGAACATTTAGCTGTATATTACTAAATAACTATCATCAGGCCTCAGTTTAATGCTGTATGGGACATTCTTGACCGGTTTCAAAGTTTGTAATGCAGATATCTAGAAAATGTTGGTCTTTGGTTCTTGTCTTGTGTTAAAATTGTTTGAATAACTAATACGCCCCACTTCAGAGTAGATGAGAATGTTGGTGGATTAATCTCCACCTACGGTCAGAGCAAAATAATGCTGATTATCATAAGTAGTCTTTTTAATGTTTGAAGTTTGTAAAATGGAATGTGTTTGGTTTGCCCTTGGATATTGTCATTCTGGATTGACATAGACCAGACACTATAATCTGTGTCATCTAAACTCTTGCATTCAATAGAAAGAGGTTAAAGAATTTGAAACATTAATGGAAAGGCCATTTCAAATATAATTGTATATGTAGATCAGGATCATTTAACAAGTTTCTTTATGAACAGAAAACTGAATGAAACTTCTTCAGTTGAAAAGCTCTTGCATTTTATGGTTACAACAAAAGTTTGGAATTTAATTGAGTGCAAACTGCTTTGATGATAGATAATTAGTCCAATTTTGTTCTTACTTTTTAAAGAAAAGTAATGTAAGAATGGAAGTCACATTAATTCTGATAAATAGACTTGTTTGTTTTGTCAGAAAATAAGTTCAGACAATTTTTAAAAATAGACTTGTTTGTTTTGTCAGAAGACAAATTCAGGCAATTTTTAAGAAAATAGTAGAATTCTAAGTGACGAATAAAAAAAATAGAGAGTGAGGGAAAAAAATTACTCAAGCTTGACCAGGTTGGTAAAAGTAACAATTTAATTAAAACCAGACAAAAGGAAAGCTATATTAAGTCTTTTTTGAGAACTAGGTTTAAGTTAGTCACAATAAAAACGGATACATCTGCCTACAGTGTAATAAATATGGTTTAGTGTAGAACTATAGGGAACAAGGGTGTCGTGCCTGTCATGTCTGAGGAGAAGAAAGAGGACCAGGGAGACAGCCAAACTCTGTCTGTTTGCTAAATTACACTGTTGAGGTTAGAAGTGTCATTTATCTGTAGGTCGATAATGCATATTTCTGTTGCTATTACTTGAAAAGCTTGATAAAACACACATCAAGATAGTGGGGCAAAATGGGATAACGTGTATTGGAGACAAGGAAAAAAGAAAGTTTGACACGAAACTTGTATTGATGGGGAAACAATTCCAGATATTATTACAGGGTTGAGTTGCAGCCTAATGCATT